TTCACTGCTCACCAAGCAATGACCTTTATAGCCAATCACAGTTATGTCTGTTGAGCATGTGAACACAAAGGCCAATCAGCAATGCTGGTGGAAAATAGCTGTACAGATTGGTACCAAAGTGGATGCAGCTACAACCCTTTTTTGTAGTACCAGGTTGGACTCATAGCATCACATAACTGCTGCTTATTTGTCAACTCTACATACATGATGCAAATCTCCTGTTCCAGCACATCCAAAGGTACTTTACTAGATAAAAGTCTGGTGATTCTGGAAGCCATTTGGGTTCAGTGTCATGTTTAGGAATCAAGTTTAAGATGCTTTAAGCTTTGTAGGCACTTTATCCTGCTCGACTTATCCATCAAAAGGACATGGTCAACAAACTGTGCGGGTAGAGTGTGTTTTTTAAATTAGGTTCTGTTGGTATTAAGGGGGTAAACGTGTGCACAGAAAATATACCCTACTCCAGGGGTACTTAATCCTGTTCCTGGAGATCTACCTTCCTACAGAGTTCAGCTCCAACTCTGATCAAACACAAATAAACCAACTAAGTAGTATCTGAAGGAGCACTTGGTTATTAAAGGCATGTGTATTTGATTAAGGTTGCAGCTGAAGGGGCACTGCAGGAAGGTAGATCTCCAAGACAGAACAGGATTGGGCACCCCTGCCCTAGCATGGGCAGGTATAAGATTCTGATGGTATGATAACCTTGGATAAAAATATCACGTTTTCATGGTATTGTGATTGCTGCTCTAAATTATATTCGTTTTAAACGTCTGGGTAAAAAACTATTTTTTCCCCCTTTAAACGCAACATAATTGTTTAAAATTGCGGCATAAATAATATAATTGCGGCATACCTTAAAACAGTTATCCTGCCATGCCTATGCCCTACACCAGGGATCACCAAACTTGTTCCTGGAGGTCTAGTGTCCTGCAGATTTTAGCTCCAACCCTAATCAAACACACATGAACAAGCTAATCAAGGTCTTACTAGGTATACTTGAAACACCCAGGCAGGTGTGTTGAGGCAAGTTGGAGCTGAACCCTGCAGGGCACCGGACTTCTAGGAACGAGGTTGGTGACCACTGCCCTACACCATTATACCACAACCAATAAACTGAACCATTGATAAAATGCAGGTTGGTCCATGCTTTCATTTTAATCTCAAAATTCACAAAAAAACCCAAATTCTGACAATACTATCCAAATCATGGAGAAGAATTTGAGACTCATCAGACCAAGCAGTTTTTTTTTCCTAGTCTGGTAAATTTTAACCTCAGATAATCATGCCGTTAGCTGATAGGAGTGTCAACAGAGTGCTTTTCTGATGCTGTAGCTCATCTGCTTCAAGGCTTGACATGTTGTTGAGAGGTTCTACGACACACTAGTTATTTGAGGTACCGTTCAAGGACACTTTCAGTGGACCCATTGTGATGGTCAATTTGAACTTGATCATATCTAAAAGTGGTTGTACATGGTGCACATTCAGTACCATGTAAAAAGATCTTGTCCATGCACAAATCATGAGTGAATTTATGTGCAAATCATTCATACACAGTGATATACAACATGATTTTAGGACCTGGTGACAAAAACATGGGAATTGATTTTATTGCTTTCAATTTCAAAACAATAAACATAGAACAAAATATACATATAGATAAAAAAAATATAAATTTAAAATAATAATAGTAAACAGACACATACATATTGGTTTTATTATGCATATATAATGTTGGACTCTGTCTCTCAATTATTGGCATGACTTGTCAAATATTACACAAAGAATACAATTTTAATACATATATTAATACAATTGTAAATACGTAATACGATTATTAATGCAAAAACACACACTAATTTAGTTTTAAGATATGCATACGCACACAAATAAGAAAAAAATAAACTAATATAACATCTCATTCTCTCTCTATTAGTTTCCTCTCATGCCATACTAGCCATGACCATACAAGTATCAGTGATTTCCACCAACTTCTTTCAATGATAAACAATCATAAATAAAGTCATACTACAACAGTAATCGCATTGTTTATGCATGCCTTAATTGCCCAAATGAAGTTAGCTGATGCTATGCCATTGGCTGATTAGAAATTGCTGTTAATGAGTTGGACAGGTGTAGTGAGAAAAAGCAAATGCTGAGGTGATAGAATCTGGAGGATGTGATATAAGCTGCCTGGGACGACACACTCATCAATGTAACATTCTTCAGTTTTATTATATACATTAATCATAGCTCAGTAGTTGTTGCACTTTTTGTATTGACAGACCATTTCCTCTTAGGAAGGTGGCAAAATGAGTTCAGTATGTTCGTGATTTAGTGTATACCCGGGTCTAGGTGTGCAATTTTCCTTCTCAACAAAAAAAAAAAGGAGAAAAAACTAATTTCAGCCATGCTCTCCGCTCTTTTTGAGGGGGTGGAGAAGGATAATGGTTATAAATGAGGGCTCTGCGTCTTCATTTTGCATCTGGATTCTTCCCCTTTATCCTCTCTGAAAAAAAAGGCCCCCGGTGTGATGGTGAAACATTAGGGGCATTATGAGCAGTGCTATCAATTAACGCTCTCAATCAAGCCCCAATGCAGCTGCCACTCTCCGTTAAGGGATCCACACGTTTCATGAGCCTTGCATTTATTTATTTTTTTCTCTGCAAGCTCTGGTGAAAACCCATCTTGAACTAAAGAAGAGCAATCTAGCTCTGTAATGAAAGTCTGTATGAAAGAGAGAAACAATCTCCCTCACAGCTGGCTGAATAGATGACACAAAATGAGTAAAAATCCTGAATGGCATTAAGCTACTTGAGGTTTATTTAATGTATGTATGTGTGTATTTGCTAATGTACATTATATATAACGTTGCGTTGCAATGCAATACAGCTTTTATTTTCTGTGCATTAGAATATATCCTGTTTGAGGAAGGCAGAAATTTAAAATGAAATGATCACTTATTCTTTTAAATACACTGAACATACACCTGATTTACTTAATAAGTTTTAAATGGTTGCAAATTATTTATATGAGCTGAATTTAAATTAAATTTGAATTTGAAATTGAATTTAAATTCAGCCTATATAAATTGTTTGCAACCATGCATTGTTTGCAGTTTAAGTACAATTGTAAAATAAGTAAAAACATTTATATATATATATATATATATATATATATATATATATATATATATATATATATATATATATATATATATATATATATATATATATGTATATATATATGTATGTATATCTTTTACACTGAATGATCTTTTCTTTACGTAACACGTTTGTGGAATATTACTGTAGACGCATTAAAGTAAAATTTTGTCAAATAAACTGTATGCCAAAATAAATAATTTGGATGACTTGGATGAAGGAATTAGGTTATCTTATTCGTTTTTGGAAATTTAGGTGGATTGAACATAAAACAATTAAGTAAAAAAACTCAAGAATCGTGTTATTTCAGCTTTTTTTAAATAAGTATATAATTACATTCTTAGTGGTGAAGCAGTGGCGCATTAGGTAGTGCTGTCGCCTCACAGCAAGAAGATCGCTGGGTGGCTGGTTCGAGCCTCGGTTCAGTTGGCGTTTCTGTGTGGAGTTTGCATGTTCTTCCTGCCTTTCGTGTGGGTTTTCTCCGGGTGGTCCGGTTCCCCCACAGTCCAAAGACATGCGGTACAGGTGAATTGGGTAGGCTAAATTGTCCGTAGTATATGCGTTTCAGTGTGAATGTGTGTGTGGACGTTTCCCAGAGATGGGTTGCGGCTGGAAGGGCATCCGCTGCGTAACCCCGGATTAATAAAGGGACTAAGCCGACAAGAAAATGAATGGAAGAATGAATATATTCTTGGTATATTCTAGTATATATATATATATATATATATATATATATATATATATATATATATATATATATATATATATATATATATATATATATATATTATTAATGATTATCAATTAGCATCAAATTAATTATACATAGTTTTAATGTACAAGTATTTGATGCATTTTAATAGGGCTGGGCGATTTGGCCTAAAATCTAAGTCATATCATCAATCAATCATTTATTAAAAACATTAAAGTTGAACAACTGAAATTAAATCACACGTTGCCTAAAACCAACAGTTACTGTTTTGGAAACAAATTATTTTCAGTGTTTTTCATATTTAAAAGTAGCAAATAAGCAGTTTCTCTTCCAAATAAAATAACTCGTATATCCTGTAAATAATATTTTAAACAGTACATTTATTGCATCTTCCGTAAGCAAATATTTTAATGTAAATAATAATTTTAATTTAATGAAAAATATGGCATCTCTGGCACAGCTTCCAATCATCGTCACTGTAGTGCAAAGTAAGGCACAAGAATAGGTCCATCGTCCTACTTGACCAGAGATCAGATGTGTCTGCAAACCCTTGACTCCACAGATGGTAGGGAAAGTAACTGAAAAAATTTACCTGGAAAAATTAGATCGATTATAGGTTCTGAATGTCGATTTTGATTAATTAATCAATTAATCGCCCAGACCTAAATTTTAAAACAGTTAACAAAAAACAAATTAATGAATCAAAAACATAAACTGCCAAAAACTAACAAAAAGTTTTGATCTAATTTTCTAAAAAGGAAGTTCGAAGTAGATTTGTGCAATTACACAAAGCCCAAGATGATTTATTTTTCTTTTTTTTACAAATACATTTTGATAATTTATATTGCTGACCAGCCCTACTTGTTAACACAAAAAAGGTCCTCAAACAACTGTGCAATTATTCTATCTCAGCATGAGTTTGATTGCTTCTCAATAATACTTGTTTTTAATGCATTTCCATATCAAGACTTCCAGGAAAACGAATGGCCTGCTTTAACCCGATTAACTGGAACAGTACGCAGAAGAACAAAGACAAAAAAACAATGTCAAGATAAGATATGGACATGAAAGGTTTGTACAAAATGAGCGCCAGATTTTTGTAAGAAACCATAACCGGATACTAATTATGGTCATTTTTTTTAATTCATTTTCTACTGCTTGCAACTTGGCTCCATTACTTATGAGTCTGTTACAAACCAGTGATTTAAGCAACCTTTGAATAATTCTCAAGTTTTGCTTGGAGATTTTTCACATTAAACAGCAGAACCTTTAATCAGCTTTAATCAGCATCGCCACTAACGCCAGTGTTTAATCAGCAAACTCACTTTACAATGACCATTATTACAGCTTCCCTGGGAATAAAGCAGAAACACTGCAGAGCTAAGCAAGGGTTTGTGTCGAGAAAGGTGTTTTGGGAGGAATATAGTGGCCTGTTTTTTCCTCCTTTGGTTCACAGCCAAGCAAATCCACGTAATTTAATGTTTAGCAAGACACACCACTAATTAATAGCATTATTCTGAAAGTCACTGTGAATGGACCACTTAACTAAAACGCATCACTATGATGAATGTACTTGCTGGTGTTCTCCACCCGGAGCTGGTAAAAAGAACAGGCTCACGCTTTAAATCCTGCGAACACACACACGAACAACACACATTTCACAGTGATATACACTCAACACCTGCGCACAGAAGCACACACACACACACACACGCTCTATTTCTCATCAAGCTCCATACCTCATCGTAATTCAGCTTCCATTCCTTCTCACCTCCCTGACAGGACTGAGATCATATCCTCCATGAGAGAGTTTAACAGGGGCTTACATGAAAGAGCCGTTTCAGCACTCTTCTCGCACACACACGCACACACACACATCTCTGCAGGAGGGAGTGGACTTGTTAAAGAGACCCCCTGCTTTTCTAATCGATATTTTCGCTGAATCAGAGAGAGTGTGGTCGTGCCCTCTGTGAAAGAACGCCGCTCTGTGTTGTCCTCTAAAAGCACACGTGTAGCGCAGTCGTAACTCTCTTAAGTGGATTGGTGAGAGGTGTGAGATTAAATGTGTATAGGAGCTGATGGGAACGCAGGATTTTGATCACCGTATTGAGCGATCACCTAAACACATTCACCGCCTTGACTAGAAAACTCCAGTTTAGTATATTAACCCATGCTTATTAGTTGTATTTGGCTTGAAAGGGCACAACACAGGATTCTGGTGCATAGCCACTTGTTTCTAGTTGCCTAGTTTTCTTTTACAGTGGGGAAAGTAAGTATTGAACATGTCATGTTTTTTTTCCTGGGAATAGTATTTCTAAAGGAGCTGTTGACATGGAATTGAACCAGATTGTGGTAACAACCCAAACAATACAAACATAAAAATAAATCAAAATCAAAAACAATATCACAAAAATTAGTTATGTGTAATAACAAAAAATTAAGCGATTTTAATACTTTATATAAAAGGCTTTTTTGGTTGACGGCATATTAGAAACACCTCTTATATGGGGAATAAAGACACATGAATGCCTCAGGTTTGAGTTTTTCACAGTAAAAACTTGATGTTTTATGGGTCTCTTCTACATCTAAGCAGTACTTTGTATTCTCTATTGGATCCAAGTCAGGTGAATGGCTTGGCCATTCCACAGCTTGATTTTCTTTCTCTGAAAGCATTTGAGAGTTTCCTGGGCTGTGTTTGGAATTATTGTCTTTCTGAAATGTCCACCGTGGTTTCATCTTCATCATCCTAATAATATATATTAGGGTTCAACCTTAAGGATTTTTTCATTTTGTATTAGTAGTTTATTTTTTTTACGGCTGCCACTGTCATTCTGTTTGATATTTCATCTGATAGTCTATCTCAACGTTCTGTTTATTTATTTATTTATTTTTTTGGTCTGTCTATCATTAGCCTCTTTCACATGATAATGCTGGCAAATTTTCATAAAATCACCAGAATGTCTTAAATAGTACATTCAACAATACATGGTTCAAACACAGCAGAAATCCTACAATTTACTGATCATTTTAAAACTTCTCATTCTGGAAAATTCCTGTAAGAAGTTCTAAAAGGGCATCTCTTCACAGCTATTTGCCAGTAATTTTCCAGAAAAGTCTTGATGTGTGAAAGAGGCTATTGTGTTTGTCTGTGCTGTCTGTTTGTCTTTAGCTCTATTCAGACGGTAATTATTTCTCAGGAGGAAGTATGGGATTTTCACCATTTACAGGGGGTAGTTTAGAGAATAAAAGAAGCCAGTGTTTTTCTCATGATTCATGTGAAAACCCCTACTGAATTACTTTCAAAATGATATTCATTCAAAAGTACATGCTTAAGGAGCTATGGAGATTTGTATTTAAGTCCCCATTATGAGAAATTTCCATCCGAATTGGGCTTTTCCATGTATTTTATGTTCTGTTCTTCTGTTTCTATCTTTCTGCCTTTTAAGTAATGTTTTTAGCCCCAAACTGGAAACTTTTTATGCATTTGACTGTTCACTTATGCGACTACATAATTTTTGTAATGGAAAACCTGAAAACGTGATTCAAAATGGACATTTTTGAAAATGCCTTCATGTCCATTTAAACATCCTTTTCAAAGACTTTCATTTTCGGATGATAATCTAGGTGCATATGTGTGTTTAAGGAGATGTATAGATTAAATGCAAGTGCCAACGAACACACAACAATGGTGGAGTATGTGATAGTATTGCTATATCTCAGGTTTTTGCTTACTCTTCATCTGCAAAGTGTGGATTTATTTTACATTTCAACCAAACACGCAGAAAATTCTACATACACGTCAGTGTTTAGTCGCCGACTGCAAGTCACCACTTTCATACTGTTTAGGTACTGTTTACTAACACGGTGCCAAATACTGGCCTGACAGCGATTTTAATTGTTTTTTTTTTTTTTTTTTTTTTTACAAATGTGTAAATTCATTTCAATTCATTTCAATCCAGTTATTACATTACTCTCAAAATAAGAAATTCTGAGGTGTTGCACATAGAGTGGATAGTATACATTAACCTAAAGTTATACCTATACATACAATCCTTTTCAAAAAGGTGATGTTTATGTATATTTTCAATGAAGTGTATTGCTAAAGTGTTTAAAACAATACCCAAAGTCCTTGTAGGCTTGGCATCATCAGATATGCAGATAATGCAGATAATTTTAAAAACATTGTGTAAGGATGTTTGTAAAAAAACTTGATGGCACTGATAGTTTAGAGATTAGTGCACCGATATATAGCGCCAATGCACTTCAGACTTTCAGAGTTCGAATCCCAGTTTGTGGACATTTCTCGATCCCATCCCCCTTTTTCTGCACTTCCTGTCAATAAAGGCAAAACACCAAAAATATAACAAAAAATTGTGTATTGACAACATCAGGAGTGTCCAAACTCAGTGCAGTAGGGCTGGTGTTCTGCAGAGTGTAGCTCCAACTTTCTTTAGCAACGCTGCCTGTTTCTAGTACACTACCTGACAAAAGTCTTGTCGCCTTTCCAAGTTTTAGGAAGAATAAATAATAACTTGACTTCAAGTTGATCATTTGGTATCAGAAGTTGCTTTTATTAAAGGCTAAGGCCTCTAGATTATGCCTATTTTACCAAAATAAATTTAATCATGCCTTTATTTTTAATTATTTAATTAGGACAATAAAGCCTGACTTTGCTTAGACAAAAGTCTTGTCACTTAATAGAAAATAATGTACAGTAAGGTGTCATGGTGCAATGGGAAAATAATTAATATTTTGTATGATTCTCATGAGTTCAGACAACTGCATCCATACATCTCTGCAATGACTCAAATAACTTATTAATGAAGTCATCTGAAATTGCAAAGAAAGCGTTCTTGCAGGACTTTCAGTTCATCAAGATTCTTTGCATTCATCTTCAATGCCTCCTCCTTTATCTTACCCCAGACAAGCTCAATAATAATCATATCTGGTGACTGCTCTGGCCGATTCTGGAGAACCTTGCCCTTCTTTACTTTAAGAAACTTTGACGTGGAAGTTGAAGTATGAGAAGGAGCGCTATCCTGCTAAGGAATTTGCCATCGCCTGTGGTTTGTAATGGAATGAGAAGCACAAATGTCTTGATACCTCAGGCTGTTGATGTTTCCATCCACTCTGCAGATATCTTGCATGCCACCATACTGAATGTAAGCCCAAACCATGATTTTCCCTTCACCACACTTGTCTGATTTCTATGAGAATATTGGATTCATGCGGCCTCCGATAGTTCTTTTGCAGTATTTGTGATGATTGAGATGCAGTTAAACAGATGATTCATTAGAAAAATCGACCTTCTGCCACTTTTCCAAATGATCAACTAGAAGTCATGTTATTATTTGTTGCTCTTACAACTGGGACTGATGACAACACTTTTGTCAGGCACTGCATACCTAATAGCTTGATTAGCTGATTCAGGTGTGTCTAATTGGAGTTGGAACTAAACACTGCCAGACACCGGCCTTCCAGAACCAAGTTTGGACACCCCTGGACTACATCATTGGCATTTAAAAGCAGCTTCAATTATTATTTGTTGTTGTTGTTGTTGTGAACAAAACCCTTAACACTCTTATTCTGGCACATTTCCCTCTTTTTTTCCATCTTCATAATTTCTGTCCTTCTGTCTCTACCTCTCTGTCCCCATGCTGGTGTGATGGAGTTAAAACACAAATGCTAATACGTTATTTTTAGGCATTTGCCAATCATGTAAATGTCCTCTGTAAAGGCACTACTGGTGAGTGGGCGCGTGACGAGCTTCACAGGCGTAGGCGTGATACTGAGCCATTCTGATGTCACTTTCGGTGTTTACAGCGTGTTTGCCCCATGCTTACGTGCCCTATGATGAGTGCACTTTTCATAAGCGTGACAGAAACACAATTAAGCGCTCCTTTTGTGCCGTTCAACTCAAACAAATGGGTTTGAAAACAGATCCGCACCCACTCAGGAGCCGCATGCCATGCTGCTGTCGCTGAGCCAGTCATTAAAACCTTTACCCCAATAATCAGCGAGCAGATGTCATTTTTGAGAGGGCATTGAGCCGGTGGTGCTAGAGCGGAGGCAGACTCTCCACCCAGTCCTCATTCTCCATCATCTGCTATGCTAGTTCATATACAATTTTTGGGGGGTTTTGTTTTCATACAAATGGTTTGTTCTGCATGACTGACAGCAAGATAACAAATGGGTTTATGCGTGGTTAATTTTTGAATCCGCCAAAAATAAAATGAACTGTCATGGGTTTGATTTGGATTTTACTGTGGTTGTGCGAATTCTTTAGGTTTCGCTGTGATTGTTGTCTTCTGAGAGCTACTCTATCATTGTTGCCAATGGCTCTGTGTTACTGATATGTATCCCCAGACGGTCATAGAAAAACATGCTTTCCAGTTAAACCATAGGTGACTGACAGAGGGCATCTGTTTCATGGTGTTTTATAACATTTTTTAAAGAGGACTTGATAGGCTATGTTTACATGGTGAGGTTTATTGCTCAAAGTGTTCCACAAATTCCAGAAATTTATTTTTGCATAATATTGCCATCAAATTCAAAACATATACTCAGGAGATGTGTGACTTTTGACATATTACTTTTCTGTATTGCTCCAAGACAATACATATCATTTCATATATTTTTTTATAAAATAATTATTATAATTATTATTTTTTTTACATAAGCATCTACAACATTTTTTCATTTTGAGCATTATAAACTCTAGATGATGGATAATAAAGCCCAAAGTGTCTTATTTCGAAGTATACCATAAACTGTGAATGTAGACCTGAATGTGAATGTAACTCTACGATGAGGGAAAGAAGGACACAGATATTGTCTCGGAAATCCACTATAATATTTTTTTTTCTTATGACTTCATAATGTACAACTTAATTATATACATATATATATATATATATATATATATATATATACATATATATATATATATATATATATATATATATATATATATATATATATATATATATATATAATATATATTTAATATTTTTTAGCATGAAAGTTCACCTTTTACCACAGTAAAGCCCAAAGTGTCTTCTTTCTAATTTGTGTTTATACTTACAGGGGTCAAGATCTGTTACTATTTAAAGTTAGGTAGGTGTAAATCCACAAAAGTGAGTGCTGGCTAACAGGTTAAAGCACATTGTCAGATTGTGTTTGAAATTGTTTATACATACATATATATATATATATATATAATAGTTTTATTTGCTT